CGTCTCTAGCAGAAACTTGGGCACTGCTTCTGTTGGAACGAGTGACACATGTCCTGGAAATCCTAGTTTATCTAAACACAGGTTGAGAAATAGGAGTGAAAAAGATTAAGTGTGGGAAGAAATGAGAACAGCGTTGCAGCTGAGCTCTCCTAGGATCCAGGTGCTGGCTCGGCGCTGTGTCCAGTTAAACTGAGCCCGACAGAGTTCAGCTGAGCCGGGAAGAGGGCAGCGAGCGGCCCGCAGCCAGCGTCTTGCAGAGAGGAAAGAGCGCTCCCAGCCGCGGGAAGATTAGTGTACTGGCGGTCCCAAGGCCCCTACAGGCGCAGCAGTGATCTGGCCACTTGACGCTCGCTCCAGCGCCCTCAGGCCTAGGGCTCATTACACACATTGGGAGGAGACCTGAAAGCGGGGCGGGGACACGCAATCGATCTTCAGAGCTTTGGGTCCTGAGCGCACGTGTGGAGCATGCTTGTGGAATGGGTGTGTGGGCCCTGCTCCTAGACCTCCAGGAGGTGCGGACTCACCTCTGCCCCGCCCCTTTGTGCGCCCTCACCACTAGAAAAAGTGTTTTCCCCAGGGTCGCGTAGGAGGTCGCCTCAGCCCAGCTCAGCGCTCAAACAGACCAGAGACTGACCGGGAATCGTTGGGTACCAGGAGATGCGCTCGGCCGCCTGTGCTCGCGCCCTGACGCACCAGACCCGACCTAGAGGCTACCAATGTCTGTTGCTACCTTCGCCCTGAGAGTGGGGGGCGGAGGAACAGCTGGGAAAGAAAGGGGGGAGCAGCTGGGGAGGAAAGGGAGGGACACGGAGGAAACAGTTCACACACGTGAATGCGTCCTAATTGCTCCAGGGCTCTCTCGCGGCAAAGCCTACGACTGCAAACGGCAAAGTCAAACTCTACGTCTCCAAAAGGCAGTGGCCAAAGCAGGAGGGCTTGAGTCTCCACTTTCGCCCCAGGGCGGACCGCGGACCCGAGTCCTCTCCAGTAGTTTTGGAGCCTCCAAATCAGACTACGACAGGAGGAGAAAGGTTGAGGGTGACTGATAAGAAGGCGTAGGGGTGGGGAGTATGTAGCAAGAACATCGCTTTCCGGAGTTCTCCTGCTACCGTCTGCAGGGCCAGGAGCGTACGTCGCGACTAGGGACCAAGATTGCGGCTCTCTTCGAGCGCCCCCAGCGTGGGGTGGGGCCTTGCTTTCCTGCTCCGGGACAGCTCCACCCGGCGCCCTCCGACGGAAGCTGGACTTCCCCTAAGGAAAGGCAAAGTCAACGTCCGAGGAAAGATCTTTCTTGCGGCCCCAGCGGTCGCTCCTAATAGTCCCTGGGAACATACCAAAGAAAAATGACTTTAATGACAGTCTTGATCTCCTGAATAGTTATGTGCAATATTTTGGTTTCTAGCAAAATTTAAAAGCAAAACGGGGATTTCTATATGTTTGTTTTATTAAAAACGAATTTTTAAAAAATGATCATCTGTTTGGAATTTATATCTTGCTTTACCAGCAAAGTCAGCCAGTATCGACTAAAAACAATAAATGCAGGGGTGCGAAATGTGTTTGCTCCGGTTCGAGTTCTGCCAGATGCGCCTACCTAAGCAGAACCTTTCCCGAAGACTTGCAATTGAGTGCGCTCGTGTGTGTGTGTGTGTGTGTGTGTGTGTGTGTGTGTGTGTGCCTGGTGGCTGAGCCCTTTGGGGAAGAAGGGTTAACTGGGCGTTGGCTGAGACTCCAAACCCCCTTCCTCCTCCCTGGGACTCCAAAATTGAGTCAGTCCGGGCCCGCAGGTTCCTGGGAAGCTTGAACTCCTGAGAAATTCGGGGTGCCCCCACAAAGCAAGAAAGGTTGCTATTCTGACAGCAGGGCCAGTGATGAAGGCGGACCTTAAAATATCCTTTGGAAAAGAATGTATGAGAAACTCACTCCCTGACCTCTATTCAATCATCAAAATAATACTGAGAAAAAGTTTTTAAATCTCCAAGAAGAGATACTCTCCTTTCCCTTTCCACATTGAGGAAACCTGTCTCCATTTTCGACCTGGATTTGAGAGCATCCGGCCTTAAGACAAGCGCCTCTGCCACCGAGAGAGGCGAGGCCAAGGCGGGGAGCCCCCCAGGCTTTACTCTCCGAAGCCACCTCGGCGCTGCCGTGAGGCGGATACAAAAGGAAACAGACGAGCGTGAGAAGCCAGGCGGGGAGCTGGTGGCGCGAAGACGAGCAACACGCGCGATGCCTAGAAGTGCTCTGGTGTCACTCCCCGGTATAGGTCCTGGCGAGATGGAAATGTATCCTGTACCGGAAAACTCTGTGATCAAAATATTGCAATGAAATAAAACTTTTCCCTTACAGATCTGTTTGCATATTGGAAGCATTTCTGCAATGCCGACTCCTAGGTTTAAAATACAATTACATAATTGGATATTCTCGTTGACGCACTGACACCGAGAAAACCAAGAGATTCTCAACGCAAAGTGAATTGGACCTTCAAATGACATTCTTAAGTTTGCAAGAATATCTGTATCTCCTTGTTTCGCTCCATGCATGCAGAGAATCAGTGGCCTGTAAGACTTGGGACCGGTGTGTTTTAGGGGAGGAGGCACTTAAACTGTCTAGGAATGGAGTCCCACTCCAGAAAGAAATACACAAGATAAGGTCGTTGGGTGCCGCTGTCACTGCAGGGCGCTAGCAGCTCCCTGGGCCGTGCAGATCTCTTGCGCGAATCAGTACCCCAAATTCTCTCTCTCTCTCTCTCTCTCTCTCTCTCTCTCTCTCTCTCTCTTTCTCTCTCTCTCTTTCTCTCTCTCTCTCTCTTTCTCTCTCTCTCTCTCTTTCTCTCTCTCTCTCACACACACACGCACACACACACACACACACACACACACACACACACACACTCCTATCCAAAGCGAAAGGACAGCAGGGCATCCAGAGAAATTGCGGCGGTCGCCTGGACCGCAGACCTCAGGAAGGAGCAGGCAACAGCGCTGCTCACTGCTCACTCGAGCTTTGACTTTCCATAAAGTCAGAGCGTTCTAGGCAACCACTCAAAATGGGGCTAGACAGCAAAGACTTAAAGTTAGACCTTCCCTCAGAGCTGAGAACTGTATAGTCACGTCTTCGGAACAATGATCATGTATTTTCCATTGCTGGAACGATACACAATAACTGAAATGCTTAAGAGGACGTGGGAAGTCGAGGGCGGTATGAAGCCCTCATTATAAAGTTTAATAATCTCTTTCTGAAGAAGGTCATGCAACGTCTGGCTTTTGGCAATGCAGCGTGTCTGTTGCTTCTCATTTTACTCCTAGAAACATTAGGACAAGGAAAGTCCTCAGCTGCATCTGGAAAGATGCAAGGGCAATGTGCGCGAGGCTATTTATCCGAGCAACTCGGTGCGCGGCCGGGAGTTTGGGAGCGACTCTGAAACAGAAAAGGCACTAGCCAATTTGCAACTTGGGAATCACCACTCAGTGTACGCCGAGCCGGTGCCGTCGGCAGGCAGAAATGGTGGAGGCTCATCCCTGCCTCCTTTCACCCCAAATTCCCGGGAGGCGCACTACCCAACTCCTCCTTGGCCTCGGGTGAAGCGCCGCCGCTTCCTTAAGGGAGAATCAACCACAGAGTTCGTTTCTGGGTTCAACTCACGGGGATTGTGTGACGGAATGTCACTGTCTCGGGGCTGCAGACACCTGGGAGATGAGAGCTGAAAGCTCTGCAGATTCCCAGCATTTTAAAAAAGCTTTTCTCTTTCTCTTTACTTACTGCTTTGTGGCTTCACTTGGGCATAAGATGTGAAAATAAAATGATATGACTAGTCTCATCTTTTGAAGAAAGCCAAGAAATTGAACATTTCGTTATTACTTAATTTCTTAAATGGTCACCCTATTTGTCCCTCAGTTACCATGAGAAAAACGCATCTTGTAAAAATAACCTTATATTACCACCGAAACCTCCATTCTCTTTTTTTTGCTGACCCAAAAAACGCGTCTTTTAAAAAAGAGGGGAAACAAAAAAAAAAAGAAAAGAAAAGAAAACCAGAGCGCTCTCGTAGCAATTTACAGTTTTAACTCTGCATTTTAAAAACAATAACGCTCTTTGTAAATTTCAGTGACCCAGAGGCCATCTGTAATTCACCAGGGTCAGCAAAGGAGAACGTCCCCATCTTGCGCTCTCTATGAATTCACAGCTGCCCTAAGGCAAAACTCACTGGACCTTGTCTGCCCAAGGACAAGGGTTCCGAGCTGAAGCGGCTTCTACAGCAACAGTTTCTTTTTTGAAAGTTGGTGCTGGGTGGAATCCTAGAGGCCCAGTTACAACTTGCTTATACCAGGCCCAAAACCCAACACATAGATATTTTATTATGTACCTGAGAAACTTACAAGGCAGAAATTCTATTCTAAAACTACAAATTGCACCTCATCACCATCCACTGAATGAAGAAAATAAAGAGTTGTTAGAAGTATCTCAACTGAGTTCTGCTCTGTGCCAAAGTAACTCAAGGCCCAGGGGGGCCGAACTGCTTAGCCCTTCCGCCTTGACCCAACAGCTGTAAATTGAGAAACTGTAAAATTGGAAATACGTACAACACTCCTCAAATCCGTGTTGACTTCCTAAGTCTTCAAAAGATACTTCCTAATCACTGTGCAAGACACGTATTTGACAAGATTCTCACCTTGTACAAGTTCAAAAGCTTTGGGGTCTCCAGAACATCTCTTCTGAAGGCAGTACTTACTTGCAAAGTTAACAGAAGAGTTGAGATTTTCCAAATTGATTATTGTAAATATAGGTCACAAGATTGGAAAATTCTGGTTAAGAAAAAATATTCTGTTGAATTATCTGGATAATTATTTCAGTTCACCTGGTTTCTTTTGCCAGAATAGATTTAGGCTGTCTGTTTGAAATTCAGATGTTGAATAAGCGACCTGTCCCAAAGTAATCTCTAACTGTTTATGTTATGTCAACGTTTAGTCATTATTTTTTCCTGACCCAAAAAGAAGACAAAATTCTGTTCATTTACATGGTTTATTGTTGTAAACATTAAAATGGTCTTTCTCAAAGAAAGAATTTATCAGAAAAAAAAAATCAGCGTCTCTAACTGTCATACACCATAGAAAAAAAGGCAGTGACTCATATCATGTGCCATACTAGAAATATACAAAGAAAAACTACAGAATATGGCAGTATTAAAATTCTTACTCAAACATAAAATAATAAATTAACTGACAATTTTAGACATAAAAAAATTCAAAGTGCTCAGTAATTTCCAGGGAGTTATGTATATTATAAGCACTCTGGAAACAGTCAAAAGCTGCTGCATGCAAGTTTTGTTTAGCTTTAGACAACAAAATAATCAAGATATAAACTTTCTTTTTATCAACATCAACGTTACATACAACACTTACAAACAAGGAATGTTGGACGGTGTTACAAACACTATGTGTCCCTTTTGTCAGGATTTTCTGATGTGTAATACTTGTGCCCACCTATTTGACAATTGAGAAAATGTTTAAGCTCAGATAACTACCAATCTTTATAAAATCTAACAGACTACATAGTGTCTGAAATACTATTTATATAATATAGACATTACTGAAATAGCAAGTGCCTATAACATTTTCAACCTAGAATCAACATGCTTGTCCCTTTTTTATGTATTTATTTTCTTTTTTTTTTTTGCAAACACACTTATCTTTTAGAATTTGTATTATTTATTCATAAATAGGCACAAAATAATTTAAAAAGCCAAACTGCAATGGGTAAATTTACAAGCCTTTGCCTTCTTCAACTCATGCCACCCACGCAACATTTAGTTTTACTATATATTACAGCTTTCTTTACAGCAGAAAACTTTGAAGTCTTGTTAAAGGGCAATAGTTGTGAGTCCCCTTAAGATTGTGTGTGTGTGTGTGTCTGTGTCTGTGTGTGTGTCTGTGTCTGTGTGTTACATTTGTCTGAACTGCAACAACCAAGCATGGCCAAACATTTCCCATCATACATTATAGCAATCTTTCTTCTGAACAATAAACTGATTTTTAAACTGATAATAAAAAGTTTATACCACTGTATTGTGTGTAGTCCATGTTCTAAATCCAGGATGCCCCGGAGCCAAAATGCCCTTTCAGGTTCTGCCTGCAGGTTAGGAAATAGCAACAGTTTTTGTTTTCTTTAGGGATCAAGGGTGTGGAAGGGTTACAGAAATGGGGGACAGCTTGAGCTGAGACAGATCACAGGGCTATCTCTGCCCATGTGACTTGCCCCCTCTGGACAGTTTCCGTTATCTTTCCAGTTCTTTTGAAGTGCATGGGAGGAGGTCTTAGAAAGGTAAAGTGTCCAGGAAAAGTTTGTCAATTATTGCTGGCGGTGGCACCAAGTCTTCCAATTTCAGGTAGAAAATGCGTTGTAGCCCCTGTGTGCAAAGGGTACGAAGTTCTGGGAGCTTCCCCAACAGTTTGGACAAATAATTGGGGCGGTTCAACCCCCCATTGTTGAAAGTCACATGGTCTTTGAGGCAATTTACAATCTTGTTTTGCAGTTCTTCCACTCTCTTGGGTTCCTTGAGCCCGTGTCTCTCTGCAGAAAACATAATCAGAAACAAAAGAAGAATGTACAAGACAGTTAACTAGTTGGCAAAACCAGAAAGGATCTGTGACAAGGGAAAGCCAGGACAAATCCTGCTAGGCAGATCTGGAGGGGAAGTGCCCTGCGCCTGCAGTACTGACCTGTGACCATAGCCAGGGCAGCAATGCAGGAGAAGGCAGAAATGTCGATGTTCATATTCTGCAAGTTGGAGGAGAATTCAACAATGGAATCAATCCATTCCCCAAAGCCACGAACGCATTGCAACCTGTGCAAGACCACCCCATTGCAAAAGATGAGTTTACCCTCCACTGGGTTGGACCTGCAATTAATACCAAAGAGAGAGAGGGGAGAAAAAGAGAGAGAGAAAAGCTAAACAACTAATTACTTGAAGAGCAATAAATGAGGGATTTAAGAGGCACCTAATTACTGAAGAGTTAATAAAATGTAGACCAGTGGACCTTGAAAGGGTTTAATTTCATAACAATCAAGAACGCCCCCTATCCCACCTCCATTCCATTCTGGGTTCGCTCCTTCCCTTCTCTTTTTTTGTTTTCTTTTTCTTCCTTTCTCCAACCTTATTTCCTATTCTGTCTTCTTCTCTACCCCCCACCCTCCAGTTTCCCTATCTCCCTTTCTTTTCCCTTCTTGATTCTCTCACAGCCTCCCTGAATTGTCTCTTTCCTCCTTCATTACCTGTATGCTAATCGAAGGACAAACAGTTCTAAGAAAGCTGATTCAAAAAGCAGGTCCTGGTCGGCTTTGGGTAAGTCTGCGAAGCCAGGGATCTTCTCTGCCCAGCCCCGGATGATCTCCATGGAGCCAGTCAGGAGATCATAGAATTGCTGGATATGCTGGGTGTCATCTCCACTCATCTGATAGTCAGGGTTCGCCTGGAACTGGAATTTCATTTTAAAAAGCACTTAATGAGGTTCTCTAAAATATATAACCCGTGAAATTGCTAACCCCATTTCTAGTAGGGGAGCCAGGTTTTTATAACAATTAAACCTCTCTCTGACCAGTAAGGAAATTAGATGTTCCGGGGCAATTAATTCAATTAGGGATGGTGCTACGAGGTCGCTGCTTTAAATATGTAAATTACCATTTCCATACAGACTAAATACAGTGCCATCCAGCCCTGGGAAACGTTCACTCTTATCTCCACAAAACAATTGACACGTTAGTATTCATGCTAGTCCCAGAGTGGGCCTCGAGCTGAGTCGCCCTTTTGCAAATCTTAATAAAATTGCAGTCGATACCAGGTTTGCCCAACATACTTCCTCCAATTAAAGCCTGCATATTTTTCACAGCTGGAGTAAAAAGGATCTGACCACTTGATCCCCCACCCCACTGCCATTCTTTACACCCTCTCCTTCCCTTCCTTGACCCCCAGACAGGCCCCACATTCTTCCCCCACACAGTGCCAGGAAGGATGGGGATTAAAGCATCTATCTCCATGGAGGACTGAGAATAAAGTAGACTGGGGATGGGGAGTTTGTACAGCCCCTGGTTTTCATGCTAGGGGCACTGGTGTATATGGTAGGGGTGGAGGTGGGGGTGAGTAGTTGGGTGGTAGGAATTCACGCAGCTTCAAACCCTGTTGCATGTCCCTCTCCTCCTTCCTCTGTCCTGTCCTCATGTCTAGGCCCCCAGCTACATGGATTGTCTGAAGGTCTGAATCCTGAGGCCCTGACCAGAGCTATGAGGCATATAAAGCCTTGCTTGCCTCTTTACCCCATTGAATCTGAGGTTTAATGGTGGATGTGGGGAGGGGTCCTGCCCATCTGTCGGTTTGTCCACATGATATCCCCCTCCAGCTTCTTACCCTGGAATAGTCCAGGCTGGTCATAGCCGGGTTGGAGTCGACATGGGCCCTGACGAGGGCACTGATCAGACTCACCGGGGGCGAAGGGGGAGAGGGCTCCTGTGGGCTCTTCGGTTTCGAGGGCAAACGACCTCTCCGGCCTTTTAAACTGTCTGTGCGAACCACTGCAAAGGAAGAGCCGTTGTTAGCAACGCTTTCCCGAGCCCAGACCCAGCTGCTGCCTGGACCCCTCCCCGGGGAAGGCCGCAGCCGCGGGACACCAGGCGGAGCGGCTCTGGGCCCCACTGCTTGTAAAGTCTTTACTGACGAGAAGCATTAAAAAATGCGGGGTTATTTTACGTCTTCCTCCAAATGGGTCGTATGGTTAAAGGAGAGAAGGGCCTGGCGGCTTTCTCTAGGGGAGGCTGGGCAAGCAGGAAGCTGCAGGGTCCTGGAGGCCAGACTGAGGGGGGCCGGAGATCCCCAGCACCAGGAAGTGGAGAGCGATGCTGGAGTATGAGCCGTGGTTTCCTAAGGGCGCAGACGGGAGGGTCGGCAGCTCCCCGCAACCTACCTTCTTTGACCATCCCAACAGCCAGGCACTTCTGAAATCGACAGTACTGACAGCGATTCCGGCGCCGCTTGTCCACTGGGCAGTTTTTATTTGCTAAACACACGTATTTTGCATTTTTTTGCACTGTGCGCTGCAAAAGGAGACAATATAGACCAAATTTTTTTTCTTCTTTTGAAAATCAGGCAACTCGGAGAAAATTTCTGATATGTGGCTGGGATCTACGATTCATCCCCACAAACAAACACATACACACAATTCCATTTTATTTTATTTTTTTTAATCTCTTCCTTTTCTTTCTTTCTTTTCTTTTTTCCTCCCCCAGGGCATTTACCAGAAGAAAATTGATAGCGTTAACATTTGAGCTAACCTTGCCGCTCCTTGCTGTGTTTTATATGCCAAGAGAAGGAGAAGGAGACGCTCAGTAAATACAAATCCGTGGGCATTCATATTATTTACATTCCTTGGAGACCTTCTCTATTTAAAATGATAAGATTATTCAATCAGGATGGCGAAATAAAGAGATCACTTAATTTGACCATAGGGAATTCTGTTCCACTTGGTTAGCTCAGACACGGTTCTCTGTCCTAACCAATTTCATTCTGAACAGGGAAGACAGCTCCTAGCACATGCAAATGACCCTCTTCCAACTCCGGCTCCAGCAACTTCGGGCGGGGGCCAGCCGGGTCGGCTGAGTGCGAGAGGGATGCGACCCTGGCCTCCCCGTCTTTCTGCTTCCCTTTCTCAGACACCCGGAAGTCCCCGCCACAGCCCTTGGACTCCTGCAGGGTAGTCTCGGTGGACCCCGGTGAGCTAGGCAGTCCCGGGCGAGCTGGTGCTGGGCTGGAAGGCACCTAGGCGGAGGCCACACTCCAGGGTCCCGGGCACTAGGGGTTCCCTACCTGCTTACTCTGCTCCAGCCCTTGCTCACCTTAAAGAAGCCTTTGCATCCCTCACAGGTGCGCACGCCGTAGTGTTGGCAGGCCGCGTTGTCGCCACACACAGCGCACAGCCCCTCGTTGGAGGGTGAGCCCCGCGACGGCGGCGAGGGCACCTGCGTGTCGAGCAGCTGCGACGCGTGGCCGATCTGCAGGCCCGGGAAGCCCATGGACGCGGGCTTGCGAATGGGGTTGGGCACGGCGAATGTCTGCCCATCCACCACGTGGTGGCTGCCGGCAGGCTCCGGGTTCATGGGGACATGAAGGGGCCCGTCGAAGCGCATCTGGCAACTAGACACCGGGGTGCCAGGGGGCGACTGCTTAAAGGAGAAGAGGGAGAGGCGGGAAACTGGCGTTTTCCTCTGCTCGATCATGTGCGTAGTGGCCACGTAGTTCTGGTGGAAGTTGTGAAGAGACCCCGGGTCGTCCCACATGGGGCTGTGCTGCACCTGGAAGCCCGGGGTGGTGGGCGTCGGGGGCGAGGAGGGCTTGTAGTAAACCGACCCGGAGTGCGGCATCATCTCCTCAGACTGGGGGGGCAGGTGGCTGTGTTGCTGGTAGTTGTGCATCTGAATGTCTTCTACCTTAATGGAGGACTGCTGTCCGGACAGGGGCATTTGGTACAAGCAAGGTGGCTTGACGTCGTAGCCTGTGCTGTAGTTGTCCATAAAGGTACTGAAGCTGGGGAGAGAAGTGGTGGCAGTGATTTCAGTGTTGGTGAGGTCCATGCTAAACTTGACAAACTCTGGAGTTAAGAAATCGGAGCTGTATTCTCCCGAAGAGTGGTAACTGTAGCTCTGAGAAGCGGGGCTGGCTCCTTGAGGCGAGGACCCATACTGCGCCTGAACACAAGGCATGGCTGGAAATGAAACAGGGTGATACACACTCAGCCTGGTCAACTGAACACTTTCTCCCGGGCTCGGGTACACCTGGAGCTACACCGGCAGCCCGTGGCGGTCAGAGAGCCAGAGAGCATGGAGGGGCGCGAGAGGAAGGGCAGGAGAGGTAGAATGCTGCAGAACAACAGTGTGGGGTGTGGAAAGACGGACCAAAATAAAGACCCAGAGCTAAAAAGCTACTGAGGGTCTACACTCCTGGGTATTTCCAAACATGTCCCCCTTACCCCGCCCCCCCTTTTTACAGTCAATCCCACTCAGATGAGCCTCTTCTCTGAAGCTCAGATTCAGCAGTCTCTTTCTAGAAATGATCATCTACAAATCAAGTTGATTTGCACAATGAGAAAGTTGTTCCCGAAGGTGATAGGTTGAGACAAACCTTAAGTTACAGGGTTTGCCAAGAAGATCTCCTTGCCCTGTGTCTTGATTTTTGGGGAACTCGGGAGAGGAAAGAAAAGAAAAGAAGTTGCACTAACCTTCAGCCGAGTTACAGGCGTTTTCGAGGAAATTAAAGGTGGACAGTGTCGTAATTCAATGAAGGACAAAGTTTTCAAGATTTTTAGAAAAGCAATGGGGAGTCCAGCCTGTCCAATCTCCTCCCTGAAATACAGACACAGGAAACTTCAGGGTATCTTCTCGACAGAGATTCAGCTGGGCATATGTAGACTCACCAGGCAAGCCCTTCCATTCCTTCCCTGTTTGTCTTACTGGAAATGAGCCTTTACCAAACACGGCACTTGAATGTATAAAAGAAATAACTGGAAACAACAGAAAATACCACCCATTGCACTGCATAAAGCCTTGCAGAGAAAGGATCCTGCAAAAGGAAAGCTAGTCCATGAACTCATTTAACATTTATGATGTAATGAATTGGCCCCTTTGCTAGAGTGTAGGTGGAGAGGTCATTTTCACCTTAGGTTAATTCAGACCTGAGTAAGAAGAGTAGTCTAAAAATACAGACCTGGAACCTTCTCTTGCATTTTTTTTTCCCCCTGTGGTGAAACTGCCTCTTCTTTTGGTAAAGTAGAAGAAAGTTGATAGAAGTCAAGAATATAATATGAGAAAATAATCTTCACCCTTACCAAATGTTAGGAAGGCCTGGACTGAGAAGGCAATTTCAGTGGAAGCATCCGCATTTCTCAAGTGCTTTTGACAGAGCACTGGGATTGGAGCTACAGATAAACTGATGTTCACTTTTCCAGAAAACTTGTCTTTCAGCACCTTTAATGGCCACAAGGTGGGAAGAGGGGACCCTACTTTTCCAAGAGCATCTTAGGTCAATTGTAGAGGGAGGTGAATACTGCTCATATGGTATTGGCCCCAATATTAGAAGTGTTTCCCAGCACAGCAAGATGAACACCTTCCCCATAATGCCTTCCACGATCTCCCTTACTGGAACAAGGCATTCTTGTGTCCTAGTAATTTTCAGATGTTCCTACTTGGAATGTATTCTAGAGCATAGACAATCTTATTACTAATGAAAAAGAAAGCCAAGTACTCTCCTTCTATTATTTCCCCTCCCCCACAATCTTGCTTCATAGTGGTGGTAGTGGTGGTGGGGGGGAGGGGGGGTGAATAAACCAGAAAGAGCAGAAAGGAGACTCGACCCCCACAGTCCTTAGAGATATGCCTGTGTTGGATATTAACTCCCTGTTAGCGCCACAATTTCATAACTGTACTCTTTACATATTAATTTTCTCTCTCTCTCTCTCTCTCTCTCTCTCTCTCTCTCTCTCTCTCTCTCTCTCCTGTCTCTGACACATTCGCAAACCCAAGGACAGCATATGTCAAAACCAGGAATTTCAGACAACTTAGTAACAGGACATTCAACCGACACCACCCTTACTCAACAATACCCGGGAAACATCGCGCGCTGGCTAGCCACGGAGACACAGTTCCCAAGCAACGCATAAACTGAAGAACTTTCTCTCCCTGACAGTTTGTGGGCAGCTTCCCTCGTATACATAGGGCTTGGAGTCTCCGTGTCCACAGGCCACAATCAGTTCCTCACTAACAGCAGCAAACTTTGCGACCATTTCCGCGAGCTAGTCCTCAGCTCCCAAACTGTGGAGTCTCCCTTCCACGTCCACCAATGAGGAGCGTGGAAGCCTCCGTCGGGAGCCAACTCCCCCCTAGTGCCAAAGCCGGAGTTCGAAAAAATGCTTCCCCGGGTAACTGCGCACAAGCACTCCCCATCCTTTGGTCCCACTCCCGCTAAAGCCTCTGGCTCCCACTTCTGACCAACACACGTGGAAAGAAGAGACGTGCAAAAGAAGGAAGAAGCATAAAAGAAGGCGAGCTGCATGGGCTGCACCTACTCACTTAGGAGTTCTCCGCGTCTCTCTTCATTCATTCAACTCTGCCGAAGTGCAGTTCCCTCTGGGAGCCTGGGCGCCGGGGTCCGGGAGGAGAGGGCGAGCTGGGCGAAGGGAGCCCAGACACCTCACGCAGGGAGGGAGCAGGGACAGGCGGCCGGCTGGGCAGGCAAAAGGGACCGCGGAGCCGTGCGCGAGCCGCCGGGCGGACTGGCCCTGGCCGCCAATGTGCCTTTGTTTATGTGGCTCGCGCTGCCGCTGCCAACATGCACCTAAAGTCTCCGCGCGTCAGCGCGCGTCAGCGGCCCGTTGCCCAATCGCCGCGCCGCCGCGCTCCCTGGACTCCTGGCCCGCGCTCGCTTTGGTATATTTCCGACCTGACGTCACGAGTAGGGCCGATTTTAAGGTGGGAACCGCTCTGTGTTCACCTTGGTAGCCAGCTTGGGTGGTTTTTGGTGGTTTTTTTTTTTTTTTTTTTCCGAGAGAGGTGTGACCTCTCCCAGGTCTGCGCAGCCCGCAGGACTGGGACACTTCACTTTTCCCGAAGCACCCGAGCCCTCGCTGCGGCTCGGCGGCTCACAGGTGGGAGGGCGCAACAAAAGCCCGGGTGGAAGGGAACGCCGGCGTGGACCAGGTATCCCGCACCTGGAGCCGCACGGGATGGGAGGTGCCTTGCAGCGCCCTAACCTCTCCTACCTACCCTCGTCACCCCCTTAGCGGAAGAGCGTACAGATGTCCCATGACACGAGACGCTCAGGGGGCTCAAGCAGTTCGGGTGGGATTTCCCTACGCGGTTCATCCCCTTTTACTCCCTCTTCCTGTCCCAGGCCTCCTCTTCTAGCATATATTCATTCTCATTCTCTCTCTCTTTCTCTCTCTCTCTCTCTCTCTCTCTCTCTCCTACCCCTCCTCCCACCCCCCACACTGCCATCTGAAAGGGAATGGGAGTGGGGGTAGGGCCTATTTTTCTGTTTCCTTCTTTCCTTGCAGTGCCCACGTTCGATTGAGGACGTGGTGCGTGGAGGGGGAGAGGAAGGGGAAAGAGTAGACAGTGACTGTGACCCAGCTCTTTAGAAACCCCAAAAGTCAGAGTGAAACGTCGCCCCTTTTCCTTTCACAGACAATGCAGCCGAGCAGCAGGCAACAGGTGCGCCTTCTGCAGAAAGGTACTCTGATTCCCACCTCCTGCATACGCTAATACTTCCGATACTCCTCGGTGCCCACCAACTTGTACCCCTTCCAAGAGTTTTAGGGAAATAAATCGACCTTCGTTTGAAACACACGGGCTATCACAGCCTCCGTGTGAGAGCCCAGAAAGCCTGGACAAGAAAAGCGGAGCGGGTGGGGACTGGGAGAGCGCCTCCGCGAAGCTAAGGCGTGAGCCTACAGCCCAGCTAGGAGAGGGGCCCGGGCAGGCTGCTGGAGCGTGCCCCACGCCCGCGGCCGTCGGAGTCGCAGCCGATTCTGCTTCGCCAGTCATTTCCCCCGCCACGCCGAGAGCGCAGGGAGCTTTCTAGCAAAGTCAACGCCGCGACTCCGGAAGGCAAGCCCCCTTCCCCTGTCTCCCGGCCCGAGCTGGGCGGGCTTTCTTGAGCTTCTCCCGCGGGGTTGGAAGAGGCTGGGCCTTGGGAAGGAGAGTTCGGAGGCGCCCCGGCTTCTCTACTCGCGCAGAGCGTCCCAGCCGCCCCTCCTTTCTCGGTGTGGCTGGCTTCCTGGCCGCCTGGACCCTTTTGCAACTCGCCCCCCTCCTTGTGTTCTCAGTGCCGGCCGAAAGCGCCGGGGAACTATTCGGGATCCCCGGCTGTTCAGCCCTCATCGGCAGCCCCGCCTTTGCCTACTCTCTGCTGCCCCAGCTCGCCGGCGGCTGGGGAGGCGTTGCCAGCAGATGCCCTGCGGCTGCCCCAGGAAGCCGCGGGCTCTTCTGCGCCGCAGCCTCGGGGAAACCTACGTGACCACCTTAAGTTTCCCCCAGATGTTGCGGCTGCTGCTGCTGCAGCCGCCGCCGCCGAAGCTCCGCGGTGCCCTAGCGGGCGCGAGAAAAAAATAAAACCAGGAAGTGGGTGGGGGGGCGGCTTGTGGTGGCGGGTGAGGGTGTGTGAGGAGGGGATGAGGAGGGGAGGGCGAAGAATAGCGTATTAGCAAGAGCTCGGTAGCGTCAGCGCCCCGTGGGCAGAAGCGATTCCACGCGAACGAAAGGGAAAAAGTGAGAGTTTGGAGAGCAGGGGAGAAGGAAGGGGGTGGGGGTGGCGGTGACGCAGGGGCGCAGGCATTGACGCACCGGCCAGGCTGGGCCCAAAATAGCAGCAACTCCAGCTCAGAGGCGCCCTCCCGGGTTCCCGTTCCCTTCCGCGAGGGAGCAGGGCGCGGCCCCGGGGAGCTTTCCTTGATCCCCGCGGTGGGCCAGGATCCCGGCCGCTATTTTCGGGCAGTCGGAAAATCAAGCACAGCCACGCCGAGATGGCAGTTATTATTTTTTTAATATAGTCCTAGGAAAGCGGGGTCCGGGAGAACTTCAAAGCTGTAACCAACAGCCTCCATACACAAAATACTCCCGTCTAAGTAGATAAATTCACTCAGCACGCTTCCCCCTCCCTCATTGCTATTAAAAACACATTCAGTTTAGGTCGGGTTGAGTCTGGGACAATTTGAAAATGCCCTCCCAGAGAGCTGAAAAGTGTCCTGGAGTTCTTAAAGTGAGCTCCAAGGAAGCCAAATACTGTAATATGATGCGTTATTCTTTAACAGCAACCTGTCGAGTGCGGATTCCTGATAACAGCCTTTGCCCAAGTCTTAATGCAACCGACATTGAAGGGTCGTTTTCACAGGAACTTATTATAACAATTATTTACTGGGAATGGAGTGATTAAATATAACATTAAAATGAGAGAAATGGGAGACCTTTCTCATCTATTCTACCATCTGTGTAAGAGTTCTCTCCTCTTCAAAGTCCTATTCTGGTTTCTAGGAAGCTTTTACTGTTTGTCAGGAAGACACGCCAGATATAAGACTGTTAAACTCGCTTAAACCAATTTTGAATGAGCTACTTCTTAGGCTGGGGTTTCTGTAGGGCCCAGATGAGCTGGGTTGGAAAGGATCCAGCATATAGATCAGAAAGTGTTAAAAAAAAAAAAAAAAAAAAAAAAAAAAAAGGCCACGCTCAAAACCCCAGATCAGTTTTCTTCACCAGATTCTGTTCACCAGATTCTGATGGGACGACGTCTCAGTAGCACCGCCAATGTGTGTGTAATTGACTGATCCAGTCAGTAGGGGGCCTGACTCCACAATGTTCAAGAGAATCTCTCTCTCTTTCTCTCTCTCTCTCTCTCTCTCTCTCTCTCACACACACACACACACACACACACAAGCTATTTTACTACTTAAGCTAAACCGAAGAGAATGTTACGAGCCCAAATATTCGTATTGTGCTGGAATTCATAAATAACTAAAAATCTTTGATTCTCTTCTTTTCTCCAAAAGGGAAACAGTTTGAACACATGGGATTAGGTTCACAATAGATTTTCTTTATTTCCTCCTGCTCATGTTTAACTCACTGTTAGATCACAGGAGGAAAAAATCAAACTGGTAATAAAATCTCATTTTATCACCAAGCAGTTCAAATTGGCCTACAGTTTGGAAAAATGAAAGCATGTTTTAAAATCCTATGATTACATGTTTAAATAAATTATAGTTTAGAAAGAGATTCCTGTGGGTGTATTTGCTAGTACATAAGAGAATGCTTTTGTGCATAGAGATTTAATTACACATATGGATTCAAAATGTAGAATTGAACAACCTTTCAGAAAATGTTAAAACGATGCTTTAGGCTAAAAGAAACTGAAATTCTGCATTTATATGACTACAACCCTTCAAGATTCTTGAACATAAATAGTTCAAATAAAGTATTTTATAACTCGATTAAAATGACAGTAACGGTTTTTTCAGGCCCCTACAGCTGATGTAACTTTAAACTATTGCCATGTATAAATGTATAAAGTTACCCCACAATGAAGATCTATTTTCTTAATAATGCTTAAAATAAATGGGAGTAAAAATTAGTCCTATCCTCTTTTGAAACCAACTGAAATAAATTAAAAATTATTGCTAATAAGAAACACTATTGGATGACCACAGAAAAACATTTAGGAGGGTAATGTTACTATGTAATCTTTTATGATATTAACCAATATTAAGCAGAACATATTGGTATATGTAAACATATTTTCATTAAAAATCAAAATAAATAATATATATACTCACAGCTAAACCAAAATATTTTATTTTATGCATGGCTAAGCTGATTATACTTAATAAAATTGAGCTTTTGACATAATTTAGAAAGCAAACATGAATGTAATCCCATAGGATTTTCTATTTTAATGCATGGGAAAGAGGCCTTTAGGGATTTATTTCACCATTCTTCCCAAATGAATTCAGAATACACCTTACAATGCAGATACAGTGAAACAGACATATCTGTTATGCTGTAAGAGTTGAGGCAACTTTAAGATTTTTCATAATAAAATTACTTAGTAGAATCTATTGTTAGCATTAAAACATATATTTTAAATTACATTTGGACAAACTTTCATTCACAGCATTTATTGCCATTGAGCAGTTAAGTTACATTACTGATAGAAGAAATAAATTTTCACTTTGAAAAAAATCTGTTTTTGAAAATACAAAATTAGTTTTTACTACTGAAAGGTTTTTTGTTGTTTTGCTTTTGCCATTTCATTTACATTGACAGGATATTAATTGACAAAATTGTTTGTTTCTTTCTCATAGGATGCTCAAAGAACAAGTCAATTGCTTTGCTAATATTCATATTTTGGGTAGTTGTAGATTTCTTCAATATTACTCAGCCGATTTTTTCCACAAACCACTTAACGCAAATACTTTAAAAATTATTTTACTTTGATATAGAACTCAGTACTAGAAATGTGTAAAGATGTGCAGGAAAAAAAACAGCATTTTTTTTTTCTAGAAGCATCTTCTTGTGAATTAAAATTATAAAACTGAACATATGGTAAAACCTCATGCCACTCAAAAAGTATTTTGTATAATAAAAATCCTTCATCTTTTTGTTAATACTTGACACACAGTAACCAATTCCTAAATACTTGCTTTTAAATTAACCACTTAATATTTTCTTATTTAAGAACTATTTTTTACTAGGCAAAGAAGAATAACTTTGGTTTTAGTTAAAGGTGGACATCACTAAAATGTACAAAGTCCTAAAAGACATTTTAAAGGATCTAAAAATAAGTTGCTACATGCTAAGAAAATATCAAATACCTGCAAACTCTAAAAGTAGTTAATACCATTAGTAACACTATGAGTATTAGATAGCATGTATTTAAATGTAGATAAAATACATACATTTTGCAAGTTTTTATATGTAAATCACAGCTGGCTAGTTTTTGTTCTATCTTTAATGATAAAATAACCGCTTTTAATTTTTTCCTCACAGTAATTGGTGGACAGAAATGTCTCAATTTAATTTTAAAAAATGAAGGTATTGATAATATTGCAACAGAGACATATATGCCCTTTCTTCATCATAATTCTGCAATTATCACAAAAGTAACTTAAAGCAAGGACTCTTATAGTGATAAGTAATAAATCTAATTACCATATCTTTGAATAGATGTAATATAAATTTCATTGCTCACTTAAAAGTTCTAAAGTTAACAGCATAAACTTGAAGTTGAGTAATTAAGTAATCCTTATATAGACACTTATTAAAGTATTTATACATATTATCTTAAATCTACATCTATCATTTTGCCAATTAAAATTAGGACTTTAATTGCAATTAAGTAATTTAATTGCCAATTGAACAGCAAAATTGCTAAGTGACTAATTTTAATGCCTATTTTAATTACCAATCATGACTGGGGAGGGAGCTAATCAAGTTACATCAAGCAGTACCAGAGTAATGATGTGAAAAAAAAAAAGGTAGAACAAACATTCAAGGCTACATGCTTCAAAAAAAGAAACATAAATTAAATAAATGCAAACACAATCCTATAAATGTATAAAATACTGTATTTCAATATCTCAATACAGAACATGAAAGGAAACAAGATTAATTAAAGAAGTTTCTGTCAATCTTCAAACTAAGGACAACCAAAGTCAAATTTTTATATGGTATTTACATGACACCCATACTAACTTAGATGAAAACAAAAGCTGTATACAGTCGGGAATAAAAGGCTGTTTCCTACTTTGCTGGTGAACTATTTACAGACCGGCAGTTAAAAAAAAAAAAAAAAAAAAAAAAAAAAAAAAAATCTTGAAATGCCAAAAGAGAGAAACAAGTTTCCAAATGCAGCAACATAGATTTTGCATTTGAAAAGCCAACAGGGCAAGTGCAACTGAGCACTATACTCTTTCCTGGTTGTTCTTCTCAGCCACACTCACTTAAATCAAGAGTTCTATTATAGGCCAAATACCTATCCATAGCTGTCCCACGTTAACTTGAGAAAAACAGACACCTGGCCAATCTTAAATATTTTAAATGTATTCATGAGGAAATAAGAAAGCATCTAGGATTACATCACAGTTAAAATTACTTAGCATGGGGTATATACCTAATTCTAACAGTCTTTCTTCATTCAGTTACAATAAACATGCCCACTCAAGATAAAGGCCAAAAACCAGCAGGCAACCAGAAACACTGGTGAAAATTTTCTTGGACAACACAGACATATTTTCAAAAGTTTTTATATTCAGACTAATTCTCAGATTAGCAATATGGAAGGGCAATATTAAGAGAAGGAGGTGAAGTTGAGAACTCAAAAAATAAAAATGTGATTCCCTGTAGACAGTAACAATTCTAGTACTTTCTGGCTATAGGGATTCCCTTGGCAGCCAGCCACCTCATTTAGAGTAACAATGGGTTATCAAATCTTCATTTAAAATAAAAGTCATGTTGCAAGATATGTATTTTATTTTTGTTGCCATATATACATACCAAAAATATACCTAGTTATGTCTACAAAAGGGCCCAAGATTATTAATGAAATATGTGTAAGCCTATAACTTGAGAAAAAGCAAATTGTGCTGCTTGGGATTTTATTTACTAATGGACTTCAACTCTGAAATGAAGCACAGCAGGACTTTCGGCCTGGCTTTTGAAGAAGGAACACTTTAATAATCACTGGGCCTGACAAAAGACTGCAATATCTGTTCATGACAATAACAGCTTTATAAAGCAAGTTCTGTGTGACTGATTAAAGGACATACTCTGCCTATTCACAAGTCATGGAGATGGAGTCATTATTGACAAGCTCACCATCACTACTTATCATGTTTACAACACATCAAGTGCAGATGCTACAAAGAGAAATAAAACCTCAGCCATTAAAAGATACAAAAACAGCCCCAGAAAACATTGCCATAACTTAGGTATATTTTAATGTGTTCTGTATAAGCTTCTCCCCTATATACACACACAAAAGATTTTATTTGATAATAATTATTAAAAGTATCAAACTAACTCAAGCACTAGGTAACAAATCAGCCATTACAAAAGAAAAAAAAATGAAGGATCTTCCTGTAATTTCAAAATAATTCTGAAAGAACATGATATATAGACAAACCTTCAAAATGTTAACACTTTCTGAAACTTGACTGAAAGTAAATACTGTTTCAGACTGTTCATGTCTATTTTAGTTATTCTGCTAGTCATTAGTTTACATGAATTAATGTTTACGTAGTGCCAGAAGCAAAAAGTTTTAAAAGTATATCTCTAGCTTTGAGATATCCCTTTGTAGGCAAAAGCAAACATAAAGTTTAGCAATTGTAAGTTAGTTTACTTTTTTGCCCTTAAGGTATTGTCTTTCCGTGTAATCTATCTGTGTTAGAGAATAGAAAATAAAGGATACAATAAAAGACAACCATGTTTATAATCTGAGATTAAAGGCAATCAATTAAGACATTTTATTAGTCACCAGTGTATTCAAAAATGAGACCTGTGAAATACTGCAGAATCATTCCACTAGGAGAGAAGCAGCAACTTAAGCATGCTGTCACTGACATGCTGGTAGGAAAAAGCAAACTACCAGTACCACCATGTACATGCTTCAAATTAAGCTACATCAATAGTGAGTGCATGGGGCAGTGGGTACAGAAACCGGTTTGATGAGGAGGTGCTAAACATTTTCTGTATTTCGTATTTCTGAGAACTGTTTTCTGTAATTTACAAAGTGTAGGAATGGCTGAAGTTTGAAAATAAATGGAGAATTTCAAATAGTTAATGAATAGATTTAGGAGCTATGCTGAAACAACTAGCAGAAAACACATTTTCTGGAGTCCTTTAATTTTGTACGCTTAAAAGTGTGGTTTTCCTAAAGATGGCTAATTCCTGTCTAATTAACTAGCTCTGGAAGTCATATTTTCCATTTCTCCATACTTCATCCATTAACTTCATCTAATTTCCGGCACGACAGTTTTGCTAAACTTTATGAATTCTGCCTTGTCCACAGGTAGAAGGAGAAAGGAAATCGGCAATACAGAAAGATTTTACAGCCAGAATATGACAGGGCCCCTCAAACTACAAATAGATGTTGTAGAATTTGAAATGTAGCTCTGTAGCTCAATTTATACTACAGAAATTGCGAGATGCTATCCTCCTGTTGTTATAACGTACCAGGTCAAGGGATATAAATTGTACCAGGTAATTCATTTTGCTGTTCAGAGAGTCATTAAGTTCCTCCCAGAATATATGTGATTGATATCCCTGGAGGTGAAAGGCTAAAGGAACCATATGGCAACATGTTGCATTCCGTCTGCTATCTGCCCATCCGTGCTTAAGCTGTCATTAGCAACATCTGTACCTTACGGAAATCCAGCTGCGCCGACGACGGCTGACGAAATTGTACTTGGGGGGGAAATCTAGCTTAGCGCCATTAACTCGAGACTCAGAGTCTATCTACCAGGACGGATGGAAGCTTTCACAATTAGACGAGACGACACAAACGCTTTATTAAAGTTTAATTTTGAACTCCCAATTAGCGAAAGTGCATTACAAATCGATTGCCATTTCCTAGAAGGTACAGCAAGTTCTCTGCCTGCCTGCCACGTGCGAGACGCTCCAGAGCGCGCTTTCCCCGGTTCCCGGCCGCTGAAAGGGCACGGATGGTTCAGAGCTGGTCTCCGCGTCCCAGGAAGTCCCTAAAATCCGCGCCAGCCCCACCTTCCGCAGGGCGGGGGCGTCCACGGCCCGTACCCGCCGGAGGTGGGGGGGGGGGATGCGGGGGGCCGGACCGCAGCCTGCGCGGAGTTGGGCGGCAGGAGGGAGCGGCCGGGGGAGGAGAGGCGGGCGGGCCGGCGGCGGGAGCGGGGCCTCCATTATCTCGGCTTCTCGGGAGGAGCCTCAGCTAGTCAGTCACGCAGGAGAAGTTTCTCTTTCGCTCTTCGCGCTACACACGCCGATTGGCTTCCAGCGCGCAGGCGAGGGGGGCGGGGAGGGGGAGAGGAGTCCCCGCGGGGCCGCCCCGCGTCCGCCCCCGCCCCCGCCCCCTCCTCCCGCGCGAACAAAGCCCTCCGCTCTAGGGCCGGGGTACGTTACCTGCCCGGCGCTCCCGGCCCCTCGGTCACCGCGTCCCCCGCCGGGCGCGCCTGGAACGTCCCGCTCCCCGGGCGCACGAAGTGGCGCCCCCGGACGGATAGATCCCCCCGTCTCGATACGTTGGGGCGCTCTGGGGGTGGTGGGACGCGGGAAGTGAAAGCGGAGCCTGAGGCAAGGGGAACTTACTGATAAAATAGGGGGGGAAATTTAAAAAAAAAAAAAGTCCACAAGGCCCGGGTCCTGGCCGGGAGCGAAAGAGGCCGATTACCTTTCCGGGGGTCGCGGCCGAAAAGGAGGGGCGCCGGGGAGTCGCCCGCCCCCCTCCCCCGGTCCCCGACGGCGGCGGCAGCTGCACACACAGAAGCCCATTGTCGCCGGCGCCCGGCGCGCAGCCCCGCGGACTCGGCCCCGCGGCCAAGCGCGTCAGCGGCCCCGTCAGCCCGGCCGGGCCCCGTGACGCGCGCGCAGCCCGCGCTATAAATAACCAGCCGCCGGGCGGCTCGGGCGGCTTTCCAGTGACGCTAGGGCCGGGGCGCGGGCGGAGGAGGGCGAAAGGAAACAATAAACCGCTCGCCAGCCTCCCGGGCCTCCCTCCGCCCTTCCCGGGCCGCCCTGCGGGGAGCGCGGGCAGTGGGAGGGAAGGAGCCTGGCGGGCCGGCGGGCCCCGCTGTTGCGGGGGGCCCCGGGGCGGGAGGGCGCTTTCCCCGCACCCCGGGGCGGCGAGGAGGGAACGTGGCCGCAAGGTTAGCGAGGGGATCGCTGTGCTCCTTTCTAGCCGAGTTACAAAGTCCCGACGCTGCTTTGGCTCTCCTACTCTCGGATGTGTTTTCGTGGTACTAAGTCCTCAACCGAAAATAACAGCAAAAAAAAAAGCTGTCGTCTTTAATGTAAGCATTATCTAGGTTTCGGTGGGGCCAGCCTTGCTCTAGTGTTTTAATTTGGGGAGTGGTGTTATAGAAAGGGTGCCCCATAAAAGCAGCGTGGGCATGGGTTCCAGGACCCAGGCTCGCAGCTCCAGCGTAATTTACAGGTGTTTTTGGCCTAGAACTTAGCATAGGCCTGGAACATAGCATAAAAGAACTTTCTAAAAGTCTATAATCTCAACGTTAAAGAGATTACTTTTTAACTCTGGGCTTTAATAAAGGCTCCCACTTAAAAAGGCTTTCTCTGTAGGAAAGTATTATTATTGTAGAGACTTTCATTGCTAACTTCCATACTCAGGCAATGCTGTTACACGCCCTGACACTTGTGTTACTCGTTAAGGAACCCATATACAATAAGAGGCAGCCTGTTTTCTTGGGACCATCAACTAATAGACTATTAAAACTCTATTTCGTCTTGAGCGAAATGTCTCAGCTATATGAACACATTTTCTGAGGTGCTGATATAAATTTGCAGATGCAAGCAAGGTGTTGCAGTGACTTCGCTTGCGTAGAGTCAGTTACAAGTATTGAGGAAATGGTTCTTAGTTCACAAGTGAGGTATGGGAGAAGGTTCTCTGAGCTTGGGTTTAGAAGATCAAGAAATTTAAGAGGTTTTTTTGAGGCCAAGTGTCACTCTTGTTGCCCAGGCTGGAGTGCAGTGGAGCAATCTCGGCTCACCACAACCTTCATCTCCCGGGTTCAAGCGATTCCCCTTCCTCACCCTCCAGACAGTTGGTACTACAGGCATGCACCACCATGCCCGGCTACTTTTGTATTTTTAGTAGGGACGGAGTTTTTCCATGTTGGTCTTGGTCTCGAACTCCCAACCTCAGGTGATCCGCCTGCCCTGGCCTCCCAAAGTGCTGGGATTACAGGTATAAGCCACCACGCCCAGTGAAATTTGAGTTTTAATTGTGTCTTCACTGTACTTTTCTGTGCCACCTTGCAGAAATCATAGCTTTTCTCTGCCACACTTTCGTCATTAAAATTAAGGACCGGTGGTTCCTTTTCTACCCTAACATTCTAAGATGCTAAAGGATATTGTTTTGTCCAGAGATAAAGTTTTATCAAACAAACATAAACACCCAGTGTCTCATGGGAGACAGGTAACAAAGGTAGATTAATTTGGTCTTCTGACATTTTAAATTTTTGTACATCTTAAAATATATTAGGACCACTTCAGAAAAAAAATGAATTAAAATATCCCATTAAAACTATTTTAAGAGGAAATAATATTTGTTACAGTCGGCCTCGTTTACAGGACAGCAGGTGTATTTACAGTCTAATGATGTCACAGGCCCTTTCCAACACCATGTTTCCTCATGTGAGCAAATGGATAATGGGCAGCAAAATGCAGTAAGACCACTTTCTCCAATTTTGCTCTCATTTCTGGTTTGTGTGGCTTTTAAGGGGGATGTTTCTGTTGAAAGACACTGAATTGTTTATCACTAAGTGGTGTTACTGAGACAAGGGCAAGTTTCCTGGTTTACCTTATCAGACAGTCAGAATATGCCTTATTCTCCTGTCTTCTGTCTTCAGGTTGGTGAACCCAGAAAACATAAAAGTGGCAAAAACAAGTTTGGAGCCAAAACATTTGCTTCACATAGACACCATCAAGTGTGATCACAACTAAAAGTTAACCAATATTTTTCCAGTTCCAAAAGCACATCTGTCTTTCTCATAAAATGTTTGATATGTCTAATTTAACTTAGCCTTAAGGTTTTCTTCTGCTCCTTATAAAGAGGTATTTTTCTTTCACTGCTATTTTCATGAAACACTGAGCTTCTCTCATAATTTTAAATTAAAGCCCTTATGCTTACTTCTTATCCCTTTTTAATGTGATCAGTTCCATTTTCCATTATTCTTGCCCTTAAAAATTTAATGGAATGAGAACTAGCACATACTGGTGAAATATGAAACATGCCCAATTTTAGAGGGGGGGAGGAAAGAAGGTTAGCTTTAGAACCAGTAGAAATACAGTTAAACAACTAGTTTCCTCCAAACAAACAAACAAACAAAAATCATGATGAAATGTGTGAAATAGGGGACTGCAAATATGGAAAATATTTTATCTGGATCTCATTGATAACATAAAGCTTGTTACAGTGTTTCAAACATAGTGAATGTTTTAGAATGTGAACATTTCCCAATCTTGTGAAGTTTCTGTCTACCTGTGGTTAAATCCTTTGAAAGACTCCTCTACAGCAACAGTATTGAAGAATTTATTAGAGAAACTACAGTGAACTCTTGCCTTATTACTCAGTTAATCCTGATCTATATTTAGAGAGTGGTGCCAGCCAGGTTGAGGCTTCAAAGGAATGAGCACAAATATTTACCATATCCTGTGCAGTAGAGTTTTGGTGATTGAAATGAAAATTCATCTTGGAAAATATCACTGAAGTTATAGTATAAGCAAATCTTAGCAACCTTCAAATGGATAAATAGAAGGTTAACAAGAAAAGTGATTAGGGATTCTCAGTATTCCAAATGAAAGAAAAGGGACAACTCAGGTTTAGAGGTAGGAGCTTTCTTAATTTAAAAGGCCAAGAAATTCAGGCAGGCAGTGTTCTTAACAAGGCTGACTAAATTCAGGAAAATCGCAGGGCTCCTAACATAGTTAGAAATGCGGACATGTACACACGTAACCGGCCCTTCTGACAAGGCTGTCCTGATTTTAATGGGTAATGCCTCAAGCTGCCCAGACTTTGGTATCCCATTGATGGGAGCCACTGCAAACAGCTTTATTCTTCCAGTATAAATTATCAACCTCCAACTAGGATTTGTTAACCATGAATTTTAAAAAATATTTTGTGTGGGTTTAGGGTCCTAGACTTGTTTGCCCTGGGGTTCACTCCTGGCTCTTCTTTCCCCTCCTCTGGTCCATATCACAGGGACACTAATCCCTGCAAGCTGCATTTCCAAGTTTCCTTGTGAGCTGGTTGCCAGCTGGGTTTGAATGGCAAGCTGGAGAAGGACAGTGGAGAGCTGGAGGGTGGGAAAAGCTAGGGTGTTCCCCACCACACCCCCACATTGCAGCTCTGGCCACATGACCCATGACCTCGGACCCTGTGCCCAGTGTCACAGGCTCTTTCCTTTATTCTTCCATCTTTGGAGTCATAGTGGATTCATCCTTTTCAAAAGTAACTGTCCCTTTTTTGGTTTCTTAGCTCTGTTCTCACCTGTTTTACAAATTTCTTGAATTAAATTCTCCCTATGTTAAATACTTAGAGCAATTTCTGTTTTCCTCGTTGGAGCCTGCATCCGTATATCCCTTTGACAGGCATTACTGGACCGTATACATGGAAAATTCAATTATTCCTTGAATTTCTTATTCTAGAAATTCTTTTTTTAAATGCACCACTTAGAAGTACTAATAAAGGGTTCAGGTCTCAGAAAAGCAGGATAAAACCTAACACACTTTACAAAATCAATTTCCCAGGGGCATAATATTAAAAAGTATAAACACAAAATATTACATAACTGTACATAAGTCAGAACAGGGCATATACATAGCTGAGGCTGAGACAAATTCCACACCAATAAGAAGGGTGCCATATAATACCTATCAAGGCTTAATTTACATCACGCATTTGTGAGGCCTACTCATTCACCAGCTTGTTTGGCAATGGCCTCCACCTCCTCAGATCTTAAAAGAGAGAAGGAGAAAGAGAGAAACCTGCATTACTAATTTGAAACCTTATTATATATGTGATTCCTTGGAATAATATTTTGAAATCTACGTCATGTGTGTATTTTTTTCTCCTTGTATTTTCCTTCTCCCTGTATTTTCCGGTATTGCTTCTCTCCTCCCTCCCCACGCCTGTAGGCAGATCTCTTGCTGGGTGTTCATTGTCTCAAGAAGAGGTGAAAGGGAGTACAAACAACAATGATCTATAAATATTTCTGACTTTGTTTTATAAAGTTCTAAATTCTTAGGAAAAATAATACAGAATATCTGGAAAAAGCTTCTTTCTGAAACTGTAAAAAGGATCCCCATGGGCACATACAAGGGGAGACAGACAGAATGATTAGGTTTCCTGAGGGAGAAACAAGGAACTAAAAGCTGATACTGGGGGAGTAGCCCAAGAAAGAAGAGGCCCAGGGTAGACGTGGCAAAGGAGTCCCATGAGGTTGTGGTTTTAGCATCCGGATGTATCACGGGAGATGAGTCATCACACAAATACTACCTAGACCTAACTCATCTGCACTAAAGATTGCACTAGCTCTTTCAGTTGACCAGTCTTCACCCCAGGTAGCCAAGGTGACTGGTCAGGACTTGTACGGGAGCCACCAGGAGGGATCTCTGTATTTCTTTGTTCTCTGTACTTGAACAAATGTAAATTGCCACCACAGGGCATGAGCCTGTTGGAGAACAGAGCCTACACAGAGAAAAACGGATCCAAGCGTTGAAGATGGAGAAACTAGGGCTGAAGACCTTTGAGCTGTCTCTGGAGTTAGTCTGATTACTGGACTCTCAAATCATACGAGTAAATTTGTTCTCTTTCAGGTAAAGTGATTTTGGATT